TTTATGTAATTGTGAGTTTTTACCCCCGATGCAAAAAGCAAGGGTGTTATAAGTTTAACATGAGTACGAGTAAGGGTGTTTGTTTGCGGTATCGAGGCTCCCCAACTGATAAACCGATTTCAGTGCGGTTTTTTCTAATCAAAAGTCTTATCTGTTAAGTTCTTGGCTATGTTTAATAAAAATCGATTCATATATTTAAGACTTATGGGAAGAGTAGACGAGGGTCTGAGCAATCCAAAGTGAGCAAATATGCTTTAATGTGCTGTCAAATCAAATGGTTTGATTTGTAAATTACTGAATCGATATTTAAATGAAAATGGGTCGCGCGGCTAAAAAATTAGATCCATGTGATTTTTAACCCTCGACGCAAAAAATTGCCAACAGATGAACCGATCTGAGTGCGTTTTTTTTTAATCAAATGTTTTGTCGAGATGGTTCTTAGCTTTGTTCGATATAAATCGATTCATGTGCTTGAAAGTTAGGGAGAAAGTGTGAACATGGGGGTGAGCAACCCAAAATAAGCAAATATGCCTAAATGGGATATCAGACTTTGCACAAAACTTGTTAGTAAAATCACCCACAGTTAAAGGCAATTTTATTGTTTCGAGATTGTCTGATAGACATACTTGGCCCATACGATATAATGTATTCACCTTCAATTTTGAGGAGTTTCCTTCAGAAAGAGATACGATCTAAGGGCTTAGCTGTTGAGAAATCATAATTTCGCGTACGGCCTAAATACTTGCGCGGGATTGTAAGAATTTTGGCTTTAGGTAGATATAAATGACTATATTATGTCTAATATTTGTACACATGTACCTATGAATAGCTTGAGCTTCTTCATGTGTAGTGAATGAGTGCATAATAATAGTGTAAGAAGAAGGGAGCAACAAAACTGGCTTGACGGTATTCTAAAGGCACACTCAAGCCCTCCAAGACATAGTACGACACGAACCATACAAAATCCGCTACCTGCCTATTAGAGCATAACTCACAGTTTGTCAACTAATTAGGTCACAGCCAACTTCAACTAAATTAGCGCTCTTTCTCCACTTTTTGTCTCCCACTAAAACCAGGAAGCTCGTTTCAGAACGAACGACGACATTTATTTGTTTTCTAACCCTAGGGAATGGCACAAAATGCTGATCAAAAATGAAATACCAAGGGTAACAAATAACTCAACCTAACAATCATGATTTTCCAGTTCTTACATTTTTCATTTGGCAATAAAAACGTTTCTAGTATAAGGTAATGAAGGTTTGAAATGGACAAGGGCGGATTTAGGATTTCGTCTAGGGGAGCGCAAACGATATTTCTGGCTGGTAATTTTTCAACCTCAGTGGAACTTCTATAATTTATCCTATTATTGCTCCTTAAAACCATTGTATTCTATCTGGTCAATGCCAGCTTGAAAAAAAACATGGAAAATGCTCAGTAATCCTCAGAAAGGCAATATTTTATTATATGAGAACAAAAGAAGTAAGTGTCATTTATAATTAACTAGTGTAATAATATCTATTAAAGATTAAAACATAAAAAACTTCATTGCTCTGTTAACCGAAAAAAAAACATTCTGAGGGACCCGAGATATATCCCAGTCCATTCCCCACAAAACAATCTCTTTGATGGCGAAAACGAACATGAGACCGAAAAATTCACATTATCGTATGGACGCTAGACGGAGCAAAGAAGGATGTCTATAGACCATCTATAGATCGTGTCTTGAGACCGACTCCAGACTGCCTATAGCAAATTGCGCAACTGGGTCTACTAGTGTATACTAAGCTTAAGGATTAAGACTCTGAACTACCCATTAAACAAATCAAGTAATAGGTGCAAATACTGACACAATCAAGCACTTCTATTGTATCAGCAGATGATAAAAATATCAATAGGTATAGTCAAATATTTTTTGAAGTTCAATATAGATGTTAGTTATTCTTCAGACTTTCGTTGTCGAACTTAGATTTACGGCATAGTTGTTGTTTCTTCAGTTTTCGAATCGGTGTTGATCGCATGTAAAAATGTTGGAAATCTTTGGAACAAAACTATATTTGTTAGATCGTAATTATTTTGATAGTGTATGCTTTTGCAAAACAAGTACAGAAATACAGGGCTGTACATATTCACGTGTAATCTATGTGATTTAAAGGAATTCAATATAGCAACATTGATAGACATACGCGGGATCATCGATCGACGCATTTTCTGGACAGGCCCCAGGCGCACCTCTAAGCAAATCTTATAAATGTATATTTCCAATTTAGGCGTTCATCTAACATATACTCTAATCATATTAGCAAAATTCCCCGAAATAATTGTAAAGTCCGGTTTTATTAGTGCAAGTTGTTCAAGTGGCTATTTCAAACATGGACGCATAAAATGGGAACAACAATTTTTGTGGGAAAACTTATAATTGACAACAAAGAATGAGAAAACGTGTTTTTTGGGATTCAATCGAAAGTGTTGACAGGAACGAAGAAACTTTCCATATAGGATTTTTAGGTATTTATGAGACCTACAAAATGAGACCACACGTATAAAGATCCGACTAATAGCAAAAATGTTATGGCCGAAAAATGAGGCAAAATACAGGTTTTGGCACTTGTTGGTAATGCGACGATAATTTCACGAAACTAGTTGAAATTCTTCAAATCCGTGGGATTCATACTTCTAAATAACAGCAAAATTTTAGTATACCTATTGGTCAAGTAGTTTTTTGAGAATTTCTAATTGTTTATCCCAAAACACCTGTTTTCCGGCCATCACTACTAGTTTATTGAGCAATATTCAGGGTTCGAGCATTTAATAAAAAAATACACGTGTTTACTTTGCCGATATCAATCACAGACCATTTCGAAAGATAAATGTTATTTATGCGAAAAACAAAGGTTACGTTTTTTCTTCTAAACAAATTCAAACATTTCGTATGTGTGAAAAACACGTTACTGTACAAGATACACATTTTAAAACAAAGCGGATGTATCTGTCATCTTTTGTAGCGAATTACTTACAAATACGACATGTTTTAATTTGTTTAAAAGAAAAAACGTAATCCATCCTTTTTTTGCATAAAAATAAGATTTATCTTCCGGAATGGTTTGCGATTCATATCGGTAAGTAAACTCGTGAATTCTGCTATAAAATGCCCTTTGAACTAACCCTGTATATTGCTCAACAAGCTAGTAAGTAGTGATGGCCGGAAAACAGGTGTTTTGGGATAAACAATTAGAAATTCTCAAAAACTACTTGACCAATCTACTCCAATTTTGTTGTTGTCATTTAGAAGTACGAATCCTACGAATTTGAAGAATCTCAAATATCTGCGAGAAATTATCGTCGCATTACCAACAACTGCCAAAACCTGCACTTTGCCTCGTTTTTCGGCCATAACATTTTTGCTATTATTCGGATCTTTTTGCGTGTGGTCTCATTTTGTATGTCTCATAAATACCTAAAAATCTTATATGAAGAGTTTTTTCATTCCTACCAATACTTTCGGTTGAATGCCAAAAAACACGTTTTCTCATTCTTTGTTGTCGAATAAAAGCTTTCCCACAAAAAATTGTGTATCCATTTTATGTGCCATGTTTTGAATACCCCCTTGAACAACTTTCAGTAATAAAACCAGACCTTACAATTATTTCGCAAACCAAGGGTAATTTTCATCTAATATGATGAGACTAATAGTGCTTCACTGCAACACCAACCCCGAACAAAATCAGTCAAGCTTTACACACTTTTCAAATTACTATTGAGCAACAAACAGAACATAAATCGCTTTTTAAGTGCAATCTGTATGGCTAATATATTGCTCAGACTTAGATTTGTCACAAGACACAATACTCGAATATACATATAAATCGTAAGAATTGTGCTGTAATCGTAAGAGTTGTCAATGAGGGACAGCGTTTGGAAAACCAAAGGATACCAAAAAATCGCAAAGTTCAGTTTTTATAGCTATAACTTACAGTTAGTATGCCTCTGTCGCCTTGATGTGTCAGAAAGCAACACAATGGTGTTAGATTACAGAAGCAAGTGTCAGATGTCTAGGGGGGAGCGCACCCTCATCTAAATCCGCCACTGGAAATGGATCAGAAAAGATTGACAGGATGTTCAAACTGATAATATGTAGCAGTGGATCCTAGAGATGGTTAGGGTTACAATGTTAGAGAAATGAGGAAAAAGAGTTACAAAACTAATTCCAGCAATTTTGGTAAGTCTTTGCAACAATTATAAATCTGTAGAAACAGTTCAGTTATGTTAATTTCATGTAAAAGATAATTCAATCATAGATTGTAACTCTAACTGTTCCCTAAATCCAGAGCTCTCTGATCCTCACCTGAAAAATCCAGTAGATTTACCAGCTCCACTTTCACATTCATTATTATCATTTTGTGTCTGAAATAAGCTTTTCTATCTCAAAAAATGTGTTTATTGCCAGGCAACAAGGAATAGGTACATATGAAAAAAATTCCATTTGTACAGTACTTTCTGCTAACATACTAAATATTTTCAAACTTTGGATCATCCTTATTCTCTCCAAAGATTATAGCGATTTGAAAACAATCCATATTTAACCGTTTTCATAAATCTTCTATCAACTTATTGATGTTCGTCTTGGAATGTCTATAATAAAAAACATTTCATGTAATTTTTTTGCATGAAGTTGTTTGACAAATAAGAGCAAGAAAGTTTTGTGAGCCATCCTTGTTGACTATTTTTAGAAAAAATGCAAGAAAACAGTTGCATTTTAGTACATTTACACCACCAAATTTTTATCTTATTTTTCCCTATAGTCACTTCCATCCTTCAATATTAGCAGGAATATAAAGCATATTTGTCATAACTTGCTTGGAGTATAAGGTATATATTTTATGCAATTTTGTATTAGGGCTTATCTTATGATTTTTTTCTAAAAGCAAACAAAAATTATATCATCCACTTATATATTCAAATCATACAAAACATACTTAATAGCACAATACATTTCTACTTATTCAATTTGCTGTAGCTAAAGGATTTCTCACAACCAATATAACTGCATCTCCTCTAAGAAACATTTTTGATATGAAGCGGTCCTTGTTAACTGGTTTTGCCTTCTTCTTGCCTTTGCCAGGTCGGGGGAGTTCTGTCCACATTTCCTTTACATTTTCTAGCACCATGTTACAATGTCTGTCGAAGGCTTTTACTCTGCCGAGCAGTTTTTTATTGTTTCGGCAATTTATCAATACCTGAGTATTATTTTTAACTGACTGGGTGAGCACTGATAGTGGTCCAGTGTTGAATTCCTCTTCCTCTCTGGCCTGAAGCTCCTCAGCGGACATTTCTGATTTAGGCTTTGTTAGAGCCATTTTAATGTCTCTTTATAGTTTCAAATAACGAGATTTGCACAAAAATGTACGGTTTCTAGCGATTAGCCGCCAAAATTTGAGGTTAAGCCACTGCTAGTCACTAATGGTAACGATTATATCAAATGCTAATATACGGTTCTTCCTGAAGAATTTCAACTGATTCCAACTAGGTCTTTCTTATCTTTTCCTTACTTCCAGTCAAACCAGAAACCAGACTCAAACCTCAACCTCAAACAGGCGTCTTTTTTTATTATTTAGAAAAACATGGAATCACCGATCATAGAATATGGAACGGAAAAATACGTCATGTGGTTGCGCGTCAACTATCACCTTTCTGAATGGGGATGGGAAACTTGTCAGAGTTCAATAATTCTCAGACCTGAATCAAATCCAAACGAATATGATATGGTTTAAGATGACACACGGGATGTTTATTAGAAAAGCTCGTATATAATTTCTGATTATTTTTATTATCACTTAATAATCGGTGCTTTTTCGTCTACAACAGTGTATGGAAAGCTTAAAAAAGAAACCTTTCACAATATTAATGGGAGAAATGATTTTTTTTTCCAGAAAATCATTTTTAATGATGGATCCATGGCTTTGTAGCTATGATAACTTTCAATTCTCTAAACTTTTTCGCATATCAAAGAAAACATTTATTGATTTAGCAGAAATGATATAAAAAATCGTTGGAAAAAGATATTAGCAAAACCGTATACAGGTGGGCATTATCCAGTGAGTTTATATAGTCATATTTTAATATGCTTGTGGTATATGGCTACACAGGATACTTTGTTAAGCATAGGAACTAGATTTAAAATGTCCCCAACAACAGTAATGAGAATAACTAATAAGGTGATCTACGTTATGCTACAACTGAAGTCAGTCTGTACCAAGTTTCCCAAAAATGAAGCTGAAGTACAAAAAAAAATCCAGTACCCGCCAAAATTCCACATTTCAAATAATAACCAGAAATATAAAACTACTCCTGGGTTGGGTAAATACCACAATTTTGCGGTGATAACTATGACATATAATTCATGACGTCACGCATCTTATAACCAAACTGATAGCCACATTCGCTTGAACTGATCGGTAAATACCAATCCAAAATGGTAAACACCCTTTTCATTTGGTTATTCACTTGAATTTGATTATAATGTTAGGTAAATATTTTTTCTTCCGCCTTAGATATTCAGTGTTTTCCGAAATACCGTTTCAATCTGGAGATACGCGATCCTAAAAAATAATACGGAAAGGTAGCATTTCTGGATTGTTTTGTGCAGCACTGTGCAATTCAATGAAATTATGATAGCATGGTCTTATGCGGGTCCCACACGATGCTTCCAATGTTATTTACAACGTTCGACAACCCACAATTGGCAAGTGTGCCTCCTACACGATGAGATGAACTTTTTAGTCTCGGACGTTCGACGCATGGTGGTGTAAACGTGTATTATCGGTGTCAGTGTCGCGCTTGAACCTTTACAACTGAAGAAAAAATTATACAAAATAAACGAGGAAACAATTTTTTCGAGTGCCGAAAAATAATTTCAGGTCTGCCGTCAGCGACCAAAACTTAAGTCTGTCAGAAGCCTAAAAAACGAAGTTTGACCGGTTTTTGTTTGTTTTTCGACGATAGCTCCACCGCCAGCGTACCGATTTTCAATAACTGCAGAGCTTTTTCGTCATTTTCATAATAGTAACCTAGGGTCAAAATTTCATCAAAATCCTGATAGTGCTTTCAGAGTTATCATTTATTTAATCTTTTTTGTTAGTTATGAAATGGAAGTTGATATATTTCTCAACTAGTCTTGCACTGCAACAGGACATTATAATGAAACAACTGTAAGCACTTGATAATTTATAATTTACTAAGATACAGGTCAGCCATAACTCACCTGCGAAACGTACAAAATATTAGCAATATGAAAGAAGTGTTGTTATGGCAGCATATGCCTTGTATGTATACTAATTTAATCCATTCTCCTCAAAAGTTACTTACGGAACATACATTATTATTAATAGGTAGGTATTCAAATCAAAATACTTCCCACATACCACTACTTCACAATCACAGCAAACAATAATGTTTTCGCCGCTACTGGTTCTAACATAAGACCATCAAACACATGACATCTGGTGTGGGAGCGTAACGAACTATGCTTCCAACGTTGTAACGTCCTTTGACGCGGGTCAAAATCGACAACAGCCCGAACGTGCCATGTGGCGAACGTTGGTCACATGTAATCTGTCAGCTCTCTCCCACACGATGGCGATGTAGCGAATGGCCATGTGTCCCACGTTGTAAGTCATTCGCCACATCGTGTGGGACCGGTTTAATATTACCAAGCCGGTTGTCAATCGGTTCAAACAAATCGTGGCACATCTCTAGCAGCAATTTTGTAGTTTCAAGCACAAAACATATAAAACGAAGTTAGAAGTTTGAGGGTGGTTTGAGGTTAGAACAATAAATCAAAACAAAATAAAATCATCAGTTCTCTTTTACTAAAAGAGGAAGTTTTTGTCTTACACATAAGGTTGTCTAATATGTTGCTTCAATTTTAAAGTTTTTATGTGCTTTTGGGTGCATTTCGCCAATGGATCGTTGTTCTGGACAAACCTACCCCTTAAATTGCAGGACTAGCAATCCTTGCAAGTATTTCCTACAAAGATTATAAAGTATGTCCAGAGAGTGCGAAAAAAAGCCATAAGTATGGTAAACTTTGGCAATGAAAATGGCAAAGATTTTTGCAACTGGCTTGCCAGTGTTAAATTATCTCGAATTGTTATTATGGTATTAGTATTCTTGATACTCACTCCACTCATAACTCACTTTTATTTATCAAAAGTTGAGCGACATGCATACCAAATAGAACATGGAGCTCATTCACATCAGGACCTACCAGAAGACTTAACATACATGACTGAGTTGGACTTACGAGTTGGTGTTCAGGAATTACTTAGAATAAGAGGTTCTGTGCTCAGTGAACTGCGAGACATAGAGAAGAAAAGGCAACAGTTTAAACAAGAAATACAGTCATATCAAAAGAACATTGAAGAACTGAAACAAGAACTCTCACATCAACAGACACAGCTGAATCAATTGAAAATTTCTGTAGAGCAAGCACAAGTAGCTCAGAAGGAGGCATTGCAACAAAATTCACCTGATCTGGCATTACCAAAAAGGCTGACTGCTGATACTTTACCTCAAGAGTTGCCACCTCTGTCACGAAACTCATCAAGGAGATGCAAAATGTACAATTGCTTTGATCATTCAAGATGCTCCCTTACATCAGGATTTCCTGTCTATTTGTATGACCCAGATCAATACTCTGTGATGAATGATGGTTGGGATATTGACGGATTCTTAAAAACTACTTTGAAGCAGACATTAGGCTATAATCCACACTTGACAAATGACCCTAAAGAAGCCTGCATTTACCTAGTTCTTGTAGGAGAAGCTTTAAAAGACACAGATGATGTTAGTGAAAATGTAGGAAATCATCTCAACTTGCCTGCTTTAGACGCTGATGCTTTGAAACACCTACCTTACTGGGGTGGGGATGGAAAAAATCATGTACTATTGAACCTAGCAAGAAGAGATTTGAGTGCTACATCTGGGGACATCTTTTCTACAATAGATACAGGAAGAGCTATTTTGGTACAGTCAACATTTACACAGGACCAGTTTAGGGACAATTTTGACTTAATTGTATCTCCAGTTCTGGGGCCACCTGGAGGGGATGTCTGGCAAGAATGTGCTAGTATGCTACCTGCAAGGAGAAAGTATTTACTAACTTTTCAAGGAGAAATGAAAGCAAAAAATAGTATGTATTACATGTACTTACTAATCTTAAACAACCTATATGGTGCCTACAATACTTCCATATTTACCTTAGCTTTAACTGCTATATAGACACTACACAGGAAAGCATCCTTGTTTATATAAACCTGTTACATTAGCATGTATGATCAACAGCAACTAATCTAATTTATAACTCCCAAATAAACATAGTTATTTTTTCATAGGTATGTTATCAAATCAAAGTATCAGTAGCAACCTAGACAAGTTTGTTATTGAGTATTTGGGGCAGCTATCAAACTCGCAGACTCAGGATAAATTTCTATTTGAGTTTGAATGCAATCCTGCAAGTGATACTAGCAATAATATAGGGCCTCAGGATTGGGCATTATGCGGTACAGATAGTAGCAGAAAAAGTATCCTGAAGGAGTCTACTTATGTATTGATTTTTGCTCCAACACAGGCTGATTTGATCTCCACAACACTGCTGCAGGCAAGGGTTTATGAAGCACTAAGATCAGGTAAATGGCAATACATTTACTCTAATATTATATACCAAGGCACAATATATCTTATGTTTTGGCAGTTTCATTGTATGCATACTGAAATGTTTATGACAGCAACCCTGTAGAAGTAAATAATATTGAGAGTTTTTGCAACTGGACTATTTTACCAAAATTTAATAAAGGATCTTATAAAATTGCAAGTAATCAGTATCCAAATATGACCATTTGTCCAGACAAACATTCAAGTAATTAAACAGCTGGGAGTCAGAACCTATAATATAAATACTGTGCTTTTCAAAAAGTCTACTCTTACACTAAAATACAATATTCACTGGAAAATATTACATACTAGATATAATGTCCATTTCTGTTGGACCACTCTGTATATTATTGGCCTTTCAGTCGATAAAAATCGCACAAATCAGAGCAATAAAGAATTCTTCAGACTTGAGACCATAAAGTTTTCACAGTTGCTGCAAATTATTGATGGCATTTGTATTTTTCTGTATGGAGCAGTACTGAAGTTTATGATATATGCTAGTATGGCACAGTAGCCAAATATATTCTTACTACTTTATAAGCTACACTGCCATCTATGAGTCACTAACCTTTTCAAAGTAGATTCATAATTAATGCAGACATAAAAAAAAGCTGTGACAAATTCTCAAAGATGCTACAATGTCTCATTGCATCTCGGACGCGGGAATATAGTATTAGGTTGACTATCTTGGACCAAACTGCACAACATTAATGGTGTGGCCAATATAGTCTGGAGTATTTAAGAAACATATTTTCCCAGGTGCCATCCCAGTTATTTTAGGAGGGGATCAGATCAAGCTAGCATATAATGAAGTGATCCAGTGGAAAAGGGTTGTTGTTTTTCTTCCAAGAACCAGGATAACAGAACTTCATTTTCTCCTAAGGGCTATTCCTGACGAAGATGTGCTTATGTTTCGTAGACAGGGACGTCTTCTTTGGGAGAGATACTTAGCATCTGTCCAAAGCACTTTGGATACTGTTGTAGCTGTTCTGAGAGACAGGTTGAATATACCTCCAGCACCTGCTGAGTCCATGCCGGCTATAAGTGCTTTTAACCAAACATTCCAACCAAACCAGGTTGCTATAACAGGTATTGTTCTTCAACTTTCCTCGTCAACCGCGTTTGTCTGTAACTCGGAATTTGATGGAATTTTTACCTTGTCTGGGATGAAATACTACTACTACTACTATATTATTAGTAATGGCCTTTTCCACCAAAATGTGTATAGATTTTTTTCGCTACTAACGATGTTATACTACCATATTTAATTTTACTAGACTTTGAAAAACAACATATTTGAGCATTTTCTGAAAGTCCTCAACAGTGGCCAAATAAAGCACACGAAATATCTGCATCACAAATGTTATAAATTCGTCTTCATATTATAGTAAACAATGATTATTAAATATATTCAAAAAAATTATAAAATATTTAATAGCAGTGATAACTATGAGCCCAGCAAGAGAAAGAAAATCTACATGAATGCACACATTCATTATTTACCTAACGATTTTTTCATTATCATTATTTACCTAGGTGGATAAATGTAAGTTCTGCTTATCGGAATGTAGTAAATAATGTCGATTTTTCAGGTTTGTAGTGGAAAAAACTTCTGGTGTTAAGAGTCGGTCCATGATGGCATAGTAATAAGCTGAAAACTAATAATCTCTGACATTTCCATAAAAGCACGTGATTTGTGTCGCGCAACATCAAGTCGCCAGTTTTAAAAAATCAATATTTTCATCACTCGAAACTTCCATTTTCTGATAACTTTAGGGCATAGTAAAACACATTTTCTAGTGGACAAAATTTTGTAAAAAACCCAGTTTTTCAATTGTCTAATCGCTAAAGGATCAAGGATCTTTCATTTTATTTAATTTCAGCTGACATTGAACAAGAGGAAAGTCTTGGTCCATTAGAGCCGCCATATGCTAGCCCAGCTTACAGACGAAATTATAGCTTGTTCCTGGTACAAGGCCATGAAATGTGGAATGATTGGGGGGATCCACTGAGACTTTATCCTACTCTACCAATGGATCCAGTTTTACCTTCTGATGCAAAATTCATAGGATCTGGAAGAGGTTTTAGGCCTATTGGACAGGGTCGAGGGGGTAATTATATATCTTTTTACGAATTTTCTGTCACAAAGGTATGCACCAAAAGCTTATGATTACGTTAAGTCATTGACGAGTGGGACATTGACAATAGGAGAAAGGATGCTAATCTTCCATGATAGAAAGGATTATTAAAGTGGTTTAAGGTATCGACTCTTTGTGAACGATCTCACAGTAGGCATACTATGGAACGTTGGTAATTGAGCACAATGTCTTACTATGCATGACGTGTGCGCTGGCGTAAAAACAACCAGCTGATTTTATCGTATCGTCATAAGTGTGTGTTTCTAGGTGCTGGGAAAGAATTCTCCGAAGCATTAGGTGGGAATGTCCCGAGAGAACAGTTCACTGTGTTGCTGTTAACTTATGAGCGTGAACAAGTGTTATTAGATTCGATTGCGCGTCTGAGGGGTTTGCCGTATTTGAATTCTGTTGTAGTCGTCTGGAATTCTCCACGTCCTCCAAATGCCGAACTCAGGTATGTCTATTTACATTCTTTTTGAATATGCAAAATAATTTTCATAATAACCACTTCAGACTTCCATTGAAGTTTTATGGTATGTCAAGATGATTCAGTTGACACTCAAAAGGCATTTTGATTTGTATTACTTCATGTTATTACTTCCCCGCTTACGGGCGAAGAAATATTGTAATCGGGAAAAATGTCTGCTAATTCTTGGTCCGTCTACTAGATTGGAAAGTCCGGCTCGGATTTTGATCAAATTTTCACACAAGGTTACTACTATGCCAAAGACGAATAACCTTTGTCAATATTTTAAATTAAGTTGGTATGCAACAAAAACAGATTGTATTGTTGGCGATGTCTTCTGTTTTCTACAGAAAAAAAAATGGGTGGTCCAGCAGCGGAGTCAACGGTTTAAATAGTTTTAGGGTTCTAAAGAGGACACATGAAATTTCTCCATTACATGTGAGATATGTGACCAATTTGATTCAGTTTGGGAAAACAAGAATTGAAAGTTGTCTCTTTTAGGCAGCACACTTATAGATGCCTTATGTTTTTTGGCCAAACAAGAATTACCATTTCGGGGTCATTTTGAAGGGGATGACTCTAACAATACAGGGAATTACAGGGTTAACATTAATTGCCAAAAAAATCGAAAATTTTCCAAACATCTAGAAACGTCAACTGTTTTTCTGGAAGGCTTAGATTAGTCATAGCATAAGACGATGAGGTATATTAAGTGCCCCAGACTCTCAGTCCAGCAATGTTTACCTTAATTCAAAAAAAGTTTAAATAAAATACCTACAATAAGCAAAAACTTATATTTGGGAGGTTCAAAATAAACTTTTTTTAATAAGATTTTTCACATCTGGTTTTGGTAACAGTTTAGAAGAAGTCACGCGTCGCCACTGCCGATGAGTCTACGTGCCTTTTAGACATATTTCACATATCAAAGGATTCCCAGTACATTTGCCCTTTAGACTTTCTTTTTAAGAAAACATTTACTGACACTTCTCTTGTGTCTGTTGATGGTCGCGGGTCTCGGACCCTTCGTATGACTGCAGCGCTGGCGCTCTCGATCTCGAGTTATACCAGTATTGTTAGATTCGTTGCGAGAAAAATCAGATAGTATCTACATATATGAGCTTTATGCTTGGAGTGTAATTTTATGAGATTACTTGATTTCGTGTGGTAATATCATATAGTACATATAAGTACGCATCGAGAACTATTAGGATCAGGTATCAAATATTGTTGACAAACAGTTTTAGACGAGGCTCCAAAGAAAGAAATGAGACTACCGTGTACGGACTCGCTGATTGCTGCAATTTGTGGCTATTTTTTCGTTTATTCTAACATTTTGCTCTAATAATTTATTTTAGGTGGCCCGACATTGGAGTACCTGTACACATTGTTAAGGCAGCTAGAAACTCTCTAAATAATCGATTCTTTCCTCTCGATAATCTCCAAACGGAGGCTATACTATCCGTGGACGATGATGCTCACTTGAGACATGATGAAATTTTGTTCGGATTTCGTGTTTGGCGAGAGCATAGAGACCGAATTGTTGGATTCCCGGGACGGTGTGTACTCATTTCAACTATTTATGATATTATTGATTAAATATGTCATTAGGAGTTCTAACTAACTATGAATGTTTAAACTTAATATGGTTTGATTTCCGTCTCTGTAACCACGACCACCTGGAGAGAATGCTGTTTTGTGCTTTTTAGCACTCATCAGTACAGTATAGGTCTAGTTGAACCATTTGTAGGTGGTGCTTCGTCACATATGTCATCTATTTACGCATAACTGTAACTGATTGTTTTCTTAATAGGTATCATGCTTGGGACGTGAATACGAAAAACAGTTGGCTGTATAATTCTAACTATAGTTGCGAATTGAGTATGGTTTTAACTGGGGCAGCTTTTTTGCATCGACACTACCTTTTCTTGTACTGGAAGTGGTTACCACAAGCTATCCGCGACAAGGTAATACCTGAGCAACTATCAATTTATGATCATATTAACTTTTCGCGTAAATTATTAATCTCTTGACGTATTTTTTATATTTTTTAACCAAAACACCAAGACGCACGCAAGTTTTATTAATCTGAATATCTTTGTAGGTTGATGAATATATGAATTGTGAAGACATTGCTATGAACTTTCTAGTCAGTCACGTAACTCGCAAACCACCCGTAAAAGTGACATCACGATGGACTTTCCGCTGTCCTGGGTGTCCGCAAAGTTTGTCTGAGGACGATACACATTTTCAAGAGAGACACAAGTGCATTAATTTCTTTTCGCAGGTATGTAGATTAGAAATAAACGTGTTCAAACCTCATACGGCATGTCCATACAAACACGGGCGCTCGATCGTTGGAACGCGTGAATTTGAAGTTCGCGGCGTAACTGACGTTTAAATGGGTTTCGATATATCTTATATTACTATTTTATTTTAATTTGCGTAAAATCGTATTTTCCAGGTTTTCGGCTATACACCACTGTTGAATACTCAATACAGGGCAGATTCGATACTTTTTAAAACAAGAATATCCCGTGATAAACAAAAATGTTTCAAGTTTATATGAATGTGCACTACTGAAGCTTGTAGGATCGATCGCAAACTGTATGTGCGTAGTGTGTATATATGTATATAGTATATTTATGGTTAAATTTTGTGATAAAACATATTATAGTGAGTAAAAGCATTCATGTTTACAGTTTAGTGCCATAAACATATTAAGTTTTTGGAGCCAATCATAGCTACCCACATCATTATTTTATATTGTAACACAACTAATCTACCTATATTGTATATATAGTAATTATAATCATCACGATAGTGTCCATATATTTATTTGTACATAATGATCTTTTTACTTATATGTGATTTTAATTGTTAGGTGTCCAACTATTCTTCGCCATATACTGTGACTGTTATACTTTGAATTAGTATGATGTTTATCAATAATAAAAGACATTCTTACACCTTTTTGTGGTTTTCTTCTTTGAAGAAGTTGACGCACTTACCAAAAATTTCTCGTAAATAGTTACATCTATTAGACAAAATACATCAATGCTAGAAGTCCAGGTCGTACAGCAGGCTCTAATTTTGACAATATCTTCAAAATACTTTTGAAACAAATATATTAGTGCTAAATGAAATTATACATTTTGATTATAAAGGTCTAATTCATCTACTTAATTATGGCAATTTCTAAGTTATAGGTTAAAAAACGTTGAGAAGTTCGACAACATATTTACTTACCTCGACATCTTCCTTCGACTTGAATTATTGTTTAATATTGATAGTTTTCTGGTAGGTCACGCATTTTTTATCTAGATTTCAAAAAGCAGTCAACATCCTTGAATTTCAGAATCGAATGATTAAGAGATAAATACCGAACGCTCGAGCGCAGCCGAAGTATCTCGAATGGATAACGCGTCGGATATTTTCGAATATACATCCAGGCGGCATCTGTCTTTTTCTAACATATATGTGTCTATACACACTTCTCCTTCATACACATTGAAATCAAGCCTTCAGACAAATTTGGTTCTCAGTGTTATATGTAGGTATTTTTTACTAAACCAATGCATCCTATCATAACTATCGTTTTGTCGCTACAGATCTTGGAAACATAAGTTGACTACCTCTCTTGCTTAAACGGAGCTGTCGCTATATTATTACATTATATTTAAGAACCCCTCTTACTATTTCTTTAACGGATTCAGTCAGATGAAACTGGGGATGGTGCAATTCATGCAAAACATTTTTTAACTAATAATGTAAGACACAACCATTTGGGCTTGAGATGGCAAAGTAAAACATCTGTGTATTTGAGTCAAATAACAAACCATAAAAAAGACCTGAAAGTGGAGGACTGCAGTTGTGCGTTTCATTTGGCCATTCTGCCAAACCTAGGGAAAAGTGACCATCTCACATAATCTGCAAATGCAATGGTATGGATGACTGACTTGGCCTCTAAAGCCAACACCACCTCCCAGCCCCCCCAAAAAAGAAATCACAAATTTTGAGCGGGGAGATCGGTGGGGATCGACACCAAACACAACTTCTTTACGTTAATCTGATTAAATTCAATCCTCCGCCAAAATGTTTTTTTAATAGTTACCTAACATCACATCAAGGATTAAAATTAACGATAAATCTGAAATTAGGTTAGCCGGAATCGACTCGTTTCATGAGAATATACGAAAAGTAATGCCTTCTATGGTAACGGAGGGTTTTGAACACCAGCCCTTAAAAATTTAACCCTGAGGGATGAATCGACAGTTGCTTCCGGAGAAAATGTTCTGGGGTTTCAACTACAAGTGAGCCAAGTGGCTTCCTTTGATCATTGAATATGCAGAATTATTTCGAGTACCGCGAGCACTAAAGACTGTAGAATCAACTCAAGTTTATTAACTTAGAATATAATAAATATAGAATGTATGTATATACACAAAACTATAAACAAGGAACAAAAACGCTGTAAGAAGATCCAGTCATCCGTCGTGGGTTGGGAGAATGGCCGGTTACATGGAGTGTCTCATCTCCTGTTTCAGACAAGTTTTGAATCCTGACCAGCCTTCATTTTTCGTGTAGTAGGACTGAAAATGTAGTCAAAATGTTATTGCTAACGCACACTCGGGGACGACAGTGTAGAGCATGTCACAATGTACATAGATGACAAAAAATCCTTTGCGATACCGCGAGCATGCGACAATATCCCGTGCCATCTTACATGCGTATGTCAGAATCTACGGTGAGGTTCAAATTTGGCTGACGTAATGTGTACGAGAGAGAAGCGCCGGAAGCGTGCAATATGTAAGTTAGAAACAGTACGCCGATGGTAGAGCGGCAAGCCGCAGCTGCGTCCATGGCACTTCATTGCCTAGCAACCCGAAAGGCGCGGTCACGGACGCCACCAGCGCACTCTTTCTAACATACATATTGCACGCTTTTCGCGCGTCTCTCTCGCACACATTACGACGTCAGCCAAATTTGAACCTCACCGTATAATCTTGTTTCCAAACCCTCGTCATGTTGTGGCATCCTACAGCATACTCTCTGATGCATATTTTGTGTAGAATCCCGCTTTGAGAGGCATCGGCATTCCATCGAATGCTAAGTACAGCATTTCTCTCGTCAGTATGCGCTGCAAGAAGGGAAATCCGCTTTGGTGCTCTTCACTGTGGTCTCCTGGAGTGTGTTAATATTAGAAAAGGCAAAATTTATCCGACTAAACTCCACACAAAGGAGCAGATTTTTCACAGTAAAAATATTTGCCGGTGGATTTGAATGAATGTGGCGATGAATTTAAAGGTGGTAGCAGTAATGTCAAATATCAAGAAAAGCTAACTTTTTTGTTTATGGCAGTTTTCAAAGAAAAAAGGATGTGTAAATCATGGAAGTGGTTAATAATATTGTACTCACTCAACGACGTGAAAATTTGCGGTGTGCACCCGGCTTACGCCCGACTCGACGTTTATCTGAACATGCTTCATATGTGTGTCGATTTTACATGAATAATTTTCATTATAAAAAGAGGCATGCTAATCTTTTAATTTTTGATGTTTATTATTATTTATCAGTATTTTACCTTGAAACCTCTATGTAGTCTATCCTTCATAATAGCGATAAATTCTCTGTAACTCAATAAACCATCTCCGTCGACATCAAAAATTGCAAATACAGTATGTACCAGATGAGGAGTTAAGTTTGTTCCTGTACATATTTTTACTGCTCGTCGGAATTCATCTGAAATTCAAATTCAGAAAGATAAAATCAGCTCATTTTGTCTTGCGGCTCCGTATATCTGCGAGAAATAACGGATCCGAATTTTATTGGCTGCATCGTAGTTTGACTAGGTAGCACGAGAACTCCGCAATCTGTCTACAAGGAGGCAGTTAGACCGAACTCTCAAAGAGGTTTTAGGATTGTGGCCAGAATCAGAAGCGGATTTATTAATCAATCTTGGGAGGGGGGACTGTGGTGGTCACAGGATGCATGTTTAGGAAGATGTTCGTATATTTAAATTGAAGAGTGGGAGGGGGCGGCGGCTACATGCTTAAGTAGCGCTTCTAAAAGCGAATACCCTTGTGACAATTGAAGAGCTGGTAGTGATACGTCTGAGGTGGGGTGTGCGCACGTCTCCACGATTCAGGCTCAGCAAGGTTATTTTAGCTGCAATTTATATCATTTTATTGATAAAAAATAGCAGACTTAGGTGCCTCCCACCCCATCTAACTACGCCCTTGACTATAATCGTCAGTCAGCCCGTTACCTAAGTGGCCACTACATTTCGAACTTTTTTCACTGGCGTACCCAGAAAAAATCTTTGAAGAGCTCAGGATTCATGTTCAAGATGCCTGTCTCTGGGCAAGGGGTATTAAAAAGCGGAGGAGCAGGTCAAATACGTGGCTTGAGCCCCAAAGCTCCCCTCTGGATGATTCAGTGACATTTTGATAATCCTACCTTTCGATATGGGGTGGTCTGCCAAGGTATACATGCGCATGGCAATACTAAAATCATCCAAGTTGTTTAAAAATTGGCAGAAAACAACAAATTCTTCGAAAGAAATTCCTATGCTTTCCTTTATTCTGTCCATCAGCCTTTCCAAGTACATATCATATTCAGCAGGTTTCAGGTACGTGTACCTCAAGAGGATCCTTGCAAAATCTACCTCGGAGATAGTTGGAAGGCCTTTAGAGAACTCGTTAAATTCTAATTCTAAAACTTCGGTTTGAAGATGCAGCATGAACTTCTTAAAGCTTTCGAAGTTCAATTCGTTTTTTCCTTTTGGTCCGAAGAAGTGAATGATGAGTGTTGTGTCCACAACGTGTTTTCTTTGTAAGCCTTGTTCATCGTCAACGTATTGCTCTGAAATGGGGGTGACCTGGTCCAGGTTTTCGCTGCTGTCCATACCTCTTTTGCCTTTCCACGCATGGCTAAATATTTTTTCCATCTAAAACATTGAAAACTATAAAATCAACGAATTTGAAGCGAATAGTTTAAAGGTGCCGAATCGCATATTATTTGAACTTTTGGGTGTGGTGGTTTTACACCGGCGCTGTAGCATTGATGCAAGGAGTTAGTCAACCCTTTTTCCCTTGGCAAGCTATTATATAGTGTTTCTTAACAAATTTCCAATAGTTCACAGGATGATTTAATATGCATTTTTGAGGCAAGAACTTCATATAAACGTAGGTTTGCAAGACGTTCCTTTGTTGTAAATGTCTACGCCACTGACTGGATAAGGGCAAAATATGAATATTGTTCAGAACAGGAATGTTAATGTCAAACTTCACTAACTTCAGCGTATTTTCAAACTAGAATAGGATGGAGTATCTAACACGGCTTTTACCACAAATATTCAAATAAATTGTCGGTGGGTAGGATGCTGCCAAGTATTACATATACTCGTATTTCAAGTCAACACCCACTCCGAATATATAATTTTCTTCTATTTCGAAATAATAACTTCGACACCCGGAGACGAAAGGCTTGCGGACACATATTTATATGCACTTTTTGTTTTTATAACACTTAAGAAAATGTTCTGAGAAATATTCATTAGACAGTTGTTAAGAAACACTGTATATTTTTGAGATGCTTAAAGTAGTTGCTGCAATAGGTTCTCTTAAATATGAAAAAAACATCACACGTAATTACTTAAGTACACTTTGTTATCAAATTTTTAGGCTTGTTGGAAAGCTGTTACTCAATTCGTGGCCGCATATTCTTGAATATATCACCTCTCGTGCACATAATACACAGTAGCAAAGAGAATAAAACACTCAATAAACATTAATAAGCTTTGTACATCTATGATTGATATTTTAAGGGCAAACAAAAGAGATAATATTTTGTATCTTCTTCTCCAACTGGTTCTTGCATAATACTTCCTTTTCATCATCTTTTACATACTCTTGAAATATCCAATATAGATGTACAAAGTGTCTAAAAGGAATACGTGTTTACTATGAATCAACCTTATACAGGACAAATAGTACCACAGTTCCCAGTAAACGATGCATACCCCCAAGACACTCGAGAAGCCAGAGGGTGGTTCACTAGTTGAAATACTCTTATTTTTATGCGTAGTCTCCTGGAGGACAGATAAATATAAAATATATTGTCTTTGTCGTTTTGCTCACTTTTAAAAACACCGTGTGGTGGCCGAAATTTCCAGAAAAGTATATAGTTCCACTCTTATTCCGACCTTGTACATGATAATTCATATTTCAAAGTAGTTCGAGATGATTCATTTAAGTATTTTGAATCCCTTGAAGAACTTTGACTAGCAACTTTGAATATTCGACTTCTCTTGCTAACAAGCAGATCTGCACTATTCCGTCTTTACCCCATGGAAACAAGGGACGCGTACCCAGGGGCCCAACTCAATAGGGGCCTAAAATCTGAGCCCAACCTCACCTGCTCTTCAGCTTTTCCTAACGGCGATCTGAGTAGGCCCATATGCTTCTGTAGCATTAAAACCTCAATTAGGCTCAGCTCCTCCAAATAATATTTGGAATATTTAGAATAATTCTTCGACCACTTATCAATATCAATGACATCTACTTCAGGAGGTGAACCACCCCCCTAAGAAACTGACAACTTAAAATAAGTATTGACAGAAATTAATAATGTGCAAAATAGCTCATACACGTTGCTTCTTGTTATGCGGACCTTTATCTGTTAGCGCCTTACGAAGGATATACACTGAAAACCAAATTTATCTGATAGCTTGAGTTCAATGTGTACGAGAGAGAAGTGTGCATATTTCAGAAAGAGATAGAAGCCGCCTGGATAGCGAAGCTCATCGCCACGTTGCCTAGTAACGCTGACGCGCAATCTCCCGCGTTGCCAATATGTTACAGCAGTTCCTTGTATTAAATATAAATAGTAGTTTTATTTTGAGAGTACCCATGCTTGAATTGTGCATTGTGTCGCTCCATTTTAGGTCCAAATGAAAGGTCAGGATCGCCACAAATTCTGCAACATTGCGTCATTGGTTCGTTTGATAACACCGCATCTTGTACATTTCAAGGCAAAGTTTCCACCTCCATGATCATAGTTAAGCAATTTTATTCAGTACCAATCTAGCGCTCCTAGGGAAGTGTCGTCCTGCTTCGAAATGGTTTTCACGTGCTTACACGGAGGCAGTGATAATTTGTATTGCGTAATGGTATTTTTGACATTTTACCACCACTCGCAGTTGCAAAAAGTAACAATAATTCAGGATGTGTTGATTTTATCTTCACCGGTGGAAATAAAAGATAATTCTAAAGTAAATTAAAAGTCCCATCAAAATTGAAATAAATAATTATCATCAAAATGGAAACAAAATATTAAATTAAATGTTCGAACAAACGAAGAAGCCAGTACGAACATTTTGTGGTGTAACATATTGGCAACGCGGTAGATCCCACGGCCTCCTGCGTTACCATTGCGAGTCTCTTTCTAACATGTCTTGATACACACGTCTTCTCACTTCTCTCTCATACACATTGAACTCAAGCCGTCAGACAAATTTGGTTTTCCCTGTAGACCAGATGCTGTGAACTAAGCCGAGTGTGGGTCGGAACACTAATTTCTCTCCGAATAGCTCGGACATTTTAGGAAATATATTATAGGTATGCTTCAATAAGAAAAGAGGCGCTGGTGTTTTCTGAATAAAGCTTTCTCTTAGGATACTATTTCAATTCGTAAAAAAATTTTGGGCCCAAAAGAGGGAAAATTTACAGAAAAATATCAGCCATTTTTGAAGATAATACAAAAATCGATTTGAAAATGTACAGTGAAAGCAAAATTTTGAAATATCCTCGCTCTAGGAATACACGCAAACTTTGAACATGTAGCAAAAACCTAATTACGGCCTTTCAGCAACTGTTGAGTTTTCTGCATATGAAGAAGCACTTAACCTAGCATACCCCTATTTAAAAAAGCTGAAATCCGATTATTATGACAGCTTGCATGCAGCGAGCCAATATCCTCCATAAAATATCACAGAAGTCAATGAACAATTACGATTAAAAGATACCCATTTCCTTACAAGCAATGACGAACTTGTTATGTGTATCACAGACACAATGTGCTGAGAACGCATTTAGTTGATTAGACGAAACATCATACATGTTAACCACTTCAGAGATTCAGAAACCAAGCCAACAAAAACTGATTTTTGGTCACTTACAGGAAAATCGTCATCTATTTTTTTACCAGCCAATAGAGTTTGTATCTGTGAAGTAACATAATTATTTCTTATTGTTTGAAAACAAAAAAATATGCTCAAGATGCTGCCGATAAAAACGTATCGTCCCTCCTTCTCGTGAATAGTTTTAGAGTAAGCATATCGAGCTTGGACATTTCTTGTACACAAAAGTGAGGACAACATTTTCATCGGTAATATCTACAAATGAATCACGAATAACAAACTTACCACTAAAAATTCATTCTTATCAACCCTCTCGTTTCCATCTGTGTCAAACATGTTGAAGGCTATTCTGAATCCTGATTGAGGTTCTGAAACGTTGTGAGATTATACTATTAAATCTTCGATATGGCATGTATGCTACATACATATGTATATTTTGCTTTAAGAATTGTATGTTTAGACCAAAAGTAATGAAAAATGAGATACTAGGGTACAGGTAGGACAGCTATTTTCTCTGATAATCAGTTTCAAATGTTTTGCAAGTGGATTTTGTCCTTGTCTCGTACTTACTTGTCAAGACGGATAACATAAAGAGATATTCAGTGTAGGACACAATCCCTAAAACAAAAATTGATATGTTAACTCCAAGCTTCCTTCGTTAAGGACGAGTGGAAATACAGGCAATGTATTTTATGTTTCTCTGGCCAAATAAAACTACACCTTATCTTATAAATATATTGTCATTGTCGTTGATATGTATTTTGAAAAACGTCACCGTGGTAGCCGAAACATCAGTAAAGAGCAATTTCAACATACAGGGCGAGTATTTAGTGTTGACTCTGTTGATAATTCCGATATTTAGTCTAATCATATTAGACGAAAATACCCCTAGTTTGCGAAATAGTTGTAAAGTCTGATTTTATTACTGCAAGTTGTTCAAGGGGGTTTTCAAAACATGAATGCATAAAATGGGTACACCATTTTTTGTGTGAAAACTTTTTATTCGACGACAAAGAATGAGAAAACGTATTTTTTGGGATTCAATGAAAAGTGTTGACAGGAACGAAAAAACGCTTGATATAAGACTTTTAGGTATTTATGAAATCTATAAAATGAGACCACACGTAGAAAGATCCAACTAATAGCAAAAAAGTTATGGCCGAAAACCAAGGCAAACAAACTGTAGGTTTCGGCACTTGTTCGTAATGCGACGATGGTTTCTTGCAGATATTTGAAATTCTTCAAACTCGTAGGATTCCTACTTCTAAATAACCACAACAAAATTGGAGTAGGTTGGTCAAGTAGTTTTTGAGAATTTTTAATTGTTTATCCCAGGGTTAGTTCAAAGGGCATTTTATAGCAAAATGCACTAGTTTACCGATATGAATCGCAAACCATTCCGGAAGAGAAAAGTAATTTTTATGCAAAAAAGGATGGGTTACGTTTTTTCTTCTAAACAAATTCAAACATTTCGTATTGGCGAGTAATTCGCAAAAAGATGATAGACACATCCGCTTTGTTTTAAAATGTGTATAGTAACGTATGTTTTTCGAATATCGTAGCACATTTGTTCAATTACTCATATATACAAAATGTTTGATTTTGTTTAGAAGAAAAAACGTAACCTTCGTTTTTCGCATAAAAATAACATTTATCTTTCGGGATGGTTTGTGATTTACATCGGCAAGGTAAACACGTGTATTTTGCTATTAAATGCTTTTCGGACGAACCCTGTATATTGCTCAATAAACTGGTAGTGATGGCCACAGAACAGGTGTTTTGGGATAAACAATTGGAAATTCTCAAAAAACTACTTGACCAATATAATCCAATTTTGTTGTTGTTATTAAGAAGTATGAATCCTATGGATATGAAGAATTTCAACTAGTTGCGTGAAATTATCGTCGCATTACCAAGTGCCAAAACTTGCATTTTGCCTCGTCTTTCGACCATAACCTTTTTGATATTAGTCGGATCTTTTTACGTGCGGTCTCATTTTGTAGGTCTAATAAATAGGTACCTAAAAATATTATATGAGAAGGTTTTTCGTTTCTGTCAACACTTTCGACATTCTTTGATGTCAAAGAAAGGGTTTTCCCACAAAAATTGGTGTACCCATTTTATGTGCCCATGTTTTAAATACCCCCTTGAACAACTTGCACCAATAAAACTAGACTTTACAATCATTTGGGGGAAATTTGCTAATATGATTAGACTAGTTATGCATGGTTCTTACACAGTTTATTACAAAAATTGTAACCAACTGTATGCTCCATACTTGAAAAATGTTTTTATCTCTGCAATGAGATTTACATATACCTACATGGTAAGCCAAACATATTTTTTTTAAGAAAACCCTCCAATTTATTGCAGTTTCGGATAGGCCCTTTCAGACGAAGTAATTCGATATAACATACTCTACGGGTATACTTTAAAATGTTATAGCTAGAGTACATAATTTTTCGCCAGAAACATATTATTTACTAGTTTCTCCATACCTGCTACCTTTTTTAAGTTGTTTGGACAGCTTATACAGGGTGGTCAAGAACGTAAAATGAACTATGTGGATACACACTATATATTTTTTACAAGCCTTTTTCTGATATATGGTTGATGGGGGTTTGTATAATTGGTTTTTGAGTTACTGAAATACCTTCTTGACTATTCGGCTTTATTTTATAATGCTGTGTAGATTTGATTTCTAATGAAAATACACAAATTCTAACGATCTGCCGATGATATTTTTTATTTTGAGAGGGATTGTAGCATTTTTCATTTACCTTGATAGCTGATTTACGAGATTATCTGTTCAAATACCAATCTTATAAGCCTCCATAAACCTTATATCAGACAAAAGATTAAAAAAATGGAATCGAAGAATGTGAAAATATACAAGGTGCTCCGTTTGAAAATTTTGCATTCTTGTCCGTAATTAGATATGGAGAACACATTTGCAAAATAAAACCCTGAGGTATACTATATCAAATTGTTTCGTTTGAAATGACCTATCCACATCTGCAATGTAGATCTTTCCATAAAAAATCACCCTGTCGAGATAAAAATATGTTTGTCGAGATAAAAATATTTTTCAAGTAAAAGGCATCATGCTGTTGGCTTCACTAAAAACTCACCCCATATGTGGTTTCATTTAAACAGAGAAACATGAAGTTCTATCGGCACGAAAATCATCGGATAAGTTTCAGATGTTACATTTACCATTGTCCCTTAAGCTTCTAAATAGTCTCGGTGTTCCCTGACTTAATGGTGGAGTGGCATTTTTTATGTCTTCCAAATCCTTTTCTGTTAGAGTCCTTCGCTTAAGTCTAGCTAGAAAATAAGTATAGATCAATCATTATGGTAAAGTTTCAGTCTATCCCATATTGCAAAAATAACATTTTGTGGATTCCACTTTTCTATTTTCTATTATACTTCACTTTACTTACGTCTTGGATCTGGTTCAATAACAGATTCTAGAAAGTCTTGGGGAGTCATATATAATTGTCCATCATATTGGACTGAAGCAAATCGTATAAAGCGTTTTTCGCGTGACGTTAGTTTTATTGCCCTATTATCTTCTTCCTATAATAAAAGTTCAGTAAATGAATATTTTCTGATATAACGTGATACCTAAAGTTCAATTGCAATTAATCGTTTGTTTATTTAAAACCGTAAAATGAAACAAAACAGAAAATTCTGAACAATAAAGGTTTTTATGAAGTTCTCTCTAAAGTTGATAGTTTTTAAGAAATAAGCCATTTAGTATTCGAAAAGGTTGCGAAATGTGCCATTTTTGACTCCGAAAAACATGTAAAAATGAAAATTTTGATGCTGCCAAAGTTTTCTTTAAATATCCATTAACAAAAAAAAACCTTAGTTTTCTAATTGTTGGATAAACGCGCACTCAACGCAATCCTGAAAGTTGGGGCTTTCCTTCGGAGAAACAATTACGTTTGAAATAACAAAACTAATTTACGGTAAAACACGACCAAAAAGAAGATAAATACTCACTATTTATTTAGTATGGCATTTTAAGAACTGCCAATAAGATGTTTTGTTTGTAATTATTACTGCTTGAAGTTATCGCGGTTCGATTAAAAGAATACGAGTTTGCTTACTTCTTACTCAATTTGCCATTTGGTGCTGTCCAGGTCTTCTACTATGTCCGCCCAGACGGCATTTGTACGATATAAACAAACCTACGCAGCTCTGATGGAAATATTGAGGACGACGGCGACGTTTTCAATACACTCCCGGAGTATCAATAGGATATTGAAGACGCTCACAGTAAGCTAACATCAAATAGATAACAGCATTATTCCTATAGGAATATGCCAATTTCTGTTTTCAAAGGCGGTTTGTCTACAAACTAGGTTAATATACAAGTGACTCATATACGAGGAAAAATAGCATTGCAGCAGACGGAGCTTGTGTAGTAAGTACACTTTTCTGCCCCTAGAGGCGTACAGCGCAACAGTTCCGTTGTCACCCGAGTTGTCGATCTGGCTTGTTTCGTTCGTCTGTAGTCATTATTTTTGCTGGAGC